TATAATAATTATACAGGGGAGATTCATTATGATATTTACACATGTGCTTACAGTGTCTTAGTTAGGTTTCACTCCCTCCATACCTTTCCCTACTTTTTAGAACCATTTCAACAGGTTTCATTATTTTATTTTCAAACACCTATACAAAGTATATTCATTATATTTTCTCTCCTTCACCCTCTCCATTTACCCTTTCCTCTCCCCTAGACGGGACCTATTTACCTTCCTGTCCCTCATTTTTAAAGTACATATTAACTGTTCAAGGGGGGTTTGACTTGGTATTTCACACATGTATATATCATACATTAATCATATTAGCCTCTCTTACTCTTTCTCTTGCTCTGCTCCCCTATTATTCAACAGTTTAGAGTGCATTTTGTTATACTATCTTCATACACAGATGCATTGTGTTCCAATATTATTCACTATCAGAGAGGAAGGAATTTTCAAGGAAGAGAAATAAACACTATAGGCACTTTTCCTATATGTCATAGAGACAAGAGTAGTGCCTATAAAGCTGGTGGGGGGTGAGGGGAATCTCTGCTGTGTGTGACAGCTGTGAGCCAGCTGCTGGGGGCTGGTCTTGGTTTCTCTGACACATCTTCTGTTCCAACTGTTTATTATTAACAAAACATCCCATCCCTGGGATCTTTCCCAGCTGGGATCCGAAGCTGAGTGGAACATATCATGCTTTTCGCTCCATCTCCCTTAATGTTACTGATAAGATCGAGGGCAGAGCCATGATCAGAGAAGATGAGCAATGTTTGGCTGCTTTTATACCTCCTGTTGTAACAGAGTTGCAAGGGTCCCTCTCTTTATACCTAGAGACCCTCTACCCCAAGAACCGTCTCCCACTCCCCCAGAAGTAGTGACTACTTTCTCTAAGCTGTGAAGCTGGTTTCCTCAGAGACTATGTGCATCTGTCTCCTTTGCTACACTGTGGGCTTGTCAACAGCAGACGGGGCTTTATTCATCCTCATGAAAGTCCCTAGCCCAGTAGCTGGCTCATGGGTAAGTAGTGACCCTTTATTGAACAAATGCATGCATGCATGGACAGACGAATAGAGAGAGCACTGTGAGATTTAGCTGCTGACATGGTTGCATCCTTGTGGTCTATGTCCCCCCCACGCAGGTCATAGGGATTATTTGCTTTATTCTCAATCTTCCTTTTATGGATTCTTTCTCAGCAGTTGAAAGTGCAGAACGGAACAGTGTACCTTTCAGCAAGGACAGTGAGCAATGGAAAATGCAAAACATCAACCACAAATGTGTTCAATGGCATGCTGAATGCAATTGCAAATAAAGAGAAACTGCTTATTTTCACTGAAATGAAGTGAAAAGCTCTGGAAAGGATTGTTCTGCTCCAGATCTGAGTGTCAGGGTTGGTAAAGTTAGTGTGGGAGGCTTAGCACACCCCCTGTTGAAATTATCTGGTATTTAATAAGAAGAGAAACAGTCTTGTCCATGTGAACATTTCTCTGGCATAGCTATGCAGGGGTTGGGCCTTTTCACAAAAATTCTCTGTTAAGGAGGCATCAAATGAGTCAGAGCTGCATTCACTGGACCATCCCTGGGGTATAACTTGACTCATCCACAAATGCTGACATTCCATTTTGAAGAAGTGGAACAAAAATATTTTCCTGGTGGGAAAGCCAGAATGATATGGACTTAAAAATTCCTTTTAGGGTTCATGGAGTGGCTGAAGTGGTAAAAGTACTTGCTTAGCAAGCATGAAGTCCTGAATTCAAACCCTAGTGGTGCCAAAAAAATTCCCTTTAGCAAGCCTGTAACCACAAAAAGAAATCGACTGCTAAAATTCCTCTTTAGCATCCTCAAGTAAGGTTTAAATTGTAATCTGTAAAGGTCCATCGGCAGGGAATTGGTTAAATACATATAGTACATCCATATGGTGGGAAACAAGGCAGTTCTACATGGAACAATCTGTAAGATATATTATTAACTAAGATATACTAATAACTGAAAAAAGTATCTGAATATACATACAGAAATTTTCTTTTACTTTTTGAGGTACTGGGGCTTGAACTCAGGGCCTACACCTTGAGCCACTTCACCAGCTCTTTTTTGTGATGGTTTTTTTTCCCGATAGGGTCTCCCAAACTATTTGCCTAGGCTGACTTTGAACCTTGATCTTCCTGAATTCGAGCCTCCTGAGTAGCTAGGATTATAGATGTGAGTCGCCGGCACCCGTAGCACTAAAGTTTTAGTTTTTGTTTGTTTTTCTTGGGTGGTGCTGGGGATAGAAATTTTCTATAGAAGATTCCACAAGAAAATAGTAACAATGGTTTTCTGGAAAGAAGTGAAATGAGTTACTGGCATGGGACTAGAAATAAAATTTCTTTTCACTGTATTTCTTTGTGTCCTATTTGTAATCTGTCACCTGTTAAAATTACCTAATCAATTTTAATTTTTATTTTATGGAGGTACTGGGGTATGAACTCAAGGCCTACTTGCTAGGTAGGCACCTTACCACTTGAGCCAATAATCAATTTTTTAAATGTAAGAACATTATGAAGGTCTAATAAGGCTCTCTACTGTCACCCACTCTTTTTTCTTAAAGTTATCCAATCCTCGATAGAAATATTAGCTATTTAAGAGGCCAAGATTGGGAGGATCCAGGTTTGAGGATAGTCAGGGCAAATAATTTGAGATCCACATCTCCAAAACAACAGAGCAAAATGGACTGGAGGTGTGGCTCAAGCAGTAGTGTACCTGCTTGGCAAGTGCAAAGCACTGAGTTCAAACTCCGGTCCCAAGCCCCCCCCCCGAAAAACTCCCCAATAGAAGGAACTTAAATTGCTATATTTTTCTTAAGTTCTTAAGTTGGCAATCTGTCAGTTCACGCAGATTTCACTCCACTTGAACCTTAAATGAGAAAGCCACTTGTTTCTGAGGAAACAGTTACTGAAGTGTTGGGGAGAGTATTTTATTCAATGTTTCTTAAAGCACTATGTCCAACACAGAGCTCTCCAGCTCTTTTATAGATTGGAGGACTCTCTGATTGGATTGATTTACACCTGGAGTCCTCACAAAATAGGTTTTCACTCTTCCTCATGATAATGGATGCCAGACTAGAAATGACCTTTTGCCCAGCCCATTATCCATCCAGCTGGGGAAACCCAAGCCTGGCTTCCTAAACAGGGAAAAGGTCTGCAGCGTTTGTTTCTGTGGGAAAGGGAGCTGCAGAGGCTCCAGGGACTCAGCGCCTGCATTGTGCTGAAGGCCAGATGTGAGAGCAGGGCAGCCTCTGTCTCCTAACCTCTGTGTGAATGTTTCTTTTTGGCCCTGCTGGGAACTGCCTGCTCCTTTGTACCTACCATGCTTCAGTTCATCCTCAGGCCAGCAGGCTCAAAAACTGCAACTATGGGGTGGCCAAGATTATCCAACTCCACAACCCGATGAAAGGTTCAGAGTGCTATGGTGGAAAGAATAAGGGAGTGGAAGTCCCCAGACACTCGGTTTAAGTGCCAATGCCAACATTAACCTACAAGTTACCTCTGGCAAGCCACCTGCCTTCTCTTGGCCCTCCTTTTCCTAGCTTTCAATTAAGGAGGTGGGAATCCATGGTTGCCCTGGTTGCTTGTGGGTCTGGAGAGGAGAAGAATGGACACATAGATCCTTCTCTCTGAGATTGTTGTCATCTAGACATCTTCGGGAGGGGGACACAGAAAGGTGATTTTAGAGAGATGAGTGAAAAACTTTCCTTTCTATCTCATTACCCAAATTATTTTGGTACTGGTGTTTGAACTCAGGGTTATGCACTTATTAGGCAGGCGCTCTACGGGTTGAGCCAGATCTCCAGCCCTTACTGCCCATCTTAATCCTACCCAGTTAGGACAATTCAAAGAGGAGCGTTAGAGGAGTTTGCAGACCCTCACAATTTCTGTGACTTTACCTTCACTCTTCTTCTACACACCACCCTTCAAATTTTTAGGATAATGGTTGCTAACTTTTTTTTTTTTTTCCGGTACTGGGGTTTGAACTCAGGCCCTACACCTTGAGCTAATCCACCAGCCCTTTTTCATGAGGAGTTTTTTTCGAGATAGGGTCTCGTGAACTATTTGCCCTAGCTGGCTTCAAACCGATTCTCCTGATCTCTGTCTCCTGAGCAGCTAAAATTACAGGCGTGAGCTACCGGCACCCAGCTAATGGTTGCTAACTTTGAGCAAGGGTGGGAAAGGGGCGTGAGAAGCCCCTTTGAAAAGATTATAGGGGCACAGGCAAATACAACATTTTGTCCATTTGCCATTCAGGATCTCACAGCGCTAGATCTTATAAAACTTAAGTAGGTTTGCAGTTGAGCAAAAAAAAAAAAAAAAAGGAAAAGGAAAAGTAGAGCACACTCTGAGGACCTGATTCTTTTTTCCAGCTTACATTCCTCCGCCCCAGTCCCGCTCCAGCCGCCTCCGCTGCCAGGGGGGCCCCCCCTAGCTGGCTTCAAACCGATTCTCCTGATCTCTGTCTCCTGAGCAGCTAAAATTACAGGCGTGAGCTACCGGCACCCAGCTAATGGTTGCTAACTTTGAGCAAGGGTGGGAAAGGGGCGTGAGAAGCCCCTTTGAAAAGATTATAGGGGCACAGGCAAATACAACATTTTGTCCATTTGCCATTCAGGATCTCACAGCGCTAGATCTTATAAAACTTAAGTAGGTTTGCAGTTGAGCCAAAAAAAAAAAAAAAAAAAGGAAAAGGAAAAGTAGAGCACACTCTGAGGACCTGATTCTTTTTCCAGCTTACATTCCTCCGCCCCAGTCCCGCTCCAGCCGCCTCCGCTGCCAGGGGGGCCCCAGTCTCCCGCTCCAACTATTCCAACCATCCTGGGCAGGGTGGGGCATTCCGCTCTTGGGTCCCCCCTTCGCTCTCCCTTCTCCACCCCCGCCCGAGTCGGTCTCCCCTTCTGCCCCGGTCCCTCCCTTTCTGGGGTGGGGCCAGCCAATGGGCTACGAGACTCCGAGTTTGGCCTGGGAGCCGGGCAGCGCACGGATCCCCTGCTCCACAGTTCTGGCCGCTGTTCCAGTGCGCACGGACGTGACTCCAGTTTCCTCCGCTCTCTACTCTCTGCTCTCCCTCCCTTTCCCCTTTCTCGCTCTTCCTTTTCTCCCGGTCTCTCGCTCCAGCTCCACCCGGCCGGCTCCACACGGCTCCGGGTAGCCATGGAGGACATCACGCTCCATATCGTCGAGCGTCCGTTTTCCGGGTTCCCCGATGCTGCCGAGGACCCGGAGCCCTCCCCGGTGGCGGCGCCAGCAACCGAGGAGCCGTCGGGGACCGGCTCTGAGGAGCTGATCAAGTCGGACCAGGTGAACGGCGTGCTGGTGCTGAGTCTTCTGGACAAAATCATCGGCGCCGTCGACCAGATCCAGCTGACCCAAGCCCAGCTGGAGGAGCGGCAGGCGGAGATGGAGGGCGCGGTGCAGAGCATCCAGGGTGAGCTGAGCAAGCTGGGGAAGGCCCACGCCACCACGAGTAACACCGTGAGCAAACTGCTGGAGAAGGTGCGCAAGGTCAGCGTCAACGTGAAGACCGTGCGCGGCAGCCTGGAGCGCCAGGCCGGTCAGATTAAGAAGCTGGAGGTCAACGAGGCCGAGCTGCTGCGGCGCCGCAACTTCAAAGTCATGATCTACCAGGTGAGCCGGCGGGGCGGACCGCGCCCTGAGTTCCCGCACCCCCCCTTCCCCGTACCCCCCTCTTCCCCGCCCCCCGCCCCCCCCCCCGCGTCCGTGGCCCTGGGCTTGAGGTGGAAAGACTTGCCCGCGGCGCGGCTCTCCCACTAGCCTGGTGGGAGCGGTCAAGAGATCCACCCTCCTTCCCGCGACCCTGGCTGGGGTGGGGCGTGGGGTGCGGCGGACTCTTGGGGAGCTCAGAGGGGCGCGCTCCGCACTCGCGCTTCCCTGCCCAGGCCCCTCCCTCTGTTCTCAAACTCCTGGTTGAACTATCAGCGGACAGGACTCCAGAAAGCTGCCCTTCGCAGACTTGGCTCTGTCAAACGTCTTCCTACTTGGGGGGAGTTTCTAGGGAATGTCGGGGGTTCCTGGTGGCCCGGGGGTCCCCTGTAAGTGGATACTAGCGGTGGAGCCCGGGCCTGGGGCCTCGGGCGTTGCGGGCCCGATATAGCCGGTGATTCAGGGCTCAGGAACGCACCCGCGGGGGCTGCGCCAGGCGTGGGAAGAGACCGCCATCCCCCCCCACACCCGGTCCCGCGCCCCTTCATCAGCCTCCACCGGCCACTTCCATTCCCTTCTTGCGATCTGTCCTTGGCCTCCAGACACTTTCAAGTCCTTTGGGACACTCTAGTCCGCGTGCGCGGGCGCCCTTGGCGGGTGGGACGGGAAGAGGTGGGCGGTCGAAGTGCAAAAAAGGGCTGGTGAGCGTGGGGGGGGTCGCGTGGTGTGGGCCCTGTGAATCACCCTGCATGCCTGTGGGAGCGGCGGCCCGGAGTCTGCGGGAGGAGGCTGACGCACCCCAGGCTCCAACCTGGAGACTCCTTGCTTCCTTTGCCCACCTCCCCATTCCTCCTACCTAGATACAAATGAAGTTTTGTATCATAAACCTCAAATAAAGCTGGGAATCTCAGTGTTGCAGCGCCTCTCCCCTCCCCTCCATAACGACATTGGCGGGAATGTACCCTGCTGCCAACTCCCTGCCACCTGGTTGTGTGTTGTTGATGCCTCCTACCCCAGGAGGGTAGGATCATAAGGGATGTAGGGGTTACTTTACACTCTCCCTTCCCCTTGTCTCCCTAACAAAAAGAAGAGGAAGGCTAGATTTCCCACAGCCGCTACCTTCCAGGGCCCCTGTTAGGGAGCTGTGGTTTCATTGCTTTGGGCCTGGGCAAGCTGGTTTTTAGTAACTGTCTGGGGTGAGGTGAGGTCTTGGCTTGGTCTCTCTAAGCGGAACTAAGAGAGATACAGATTGGAACAGGTGTTTGGGGAGAACAGAAACACTGAGATGGTGAGCTGTCACCTCTCTGAGGAAGTGGCAGTGGAACAGGGGTAGAAATCTCACTGCCCCACTTACTTTGGGAGTAACTTCTCCCACCACCAAACCCTTACTTAGCCTTTATAAAGCTTTGCTTCTTGGCGATGCACACCTGTGAAGGCCAGCCTGGGCTTCACAGCAAGACCTGTCCTGAAGGGGAAAAAATAAATAGATAAATAAAGCTCCAGCCCCTTCACTTCCCATTGACAGCACTGCCTTGCAGAAAACGTTTACCCAGAGCTGTTTCCACTTAATCTCACTGCAGGATTGGGGGTGGAAGTGAGGTTTTTTTTTTTTAGACCAGCCTCCCTGGCCATGGAGGGCATCAAGGAAATGGGAACAGGTAGAGGTCTAGGGCAGCAAACTAGCTCTATCTTTTCTCCAGAACCTACTGTCGTAGAGGGTTGCCATGAAGAGCTTGGATGGGTGATCTTCTCACTTTAAATGCCCTAGACTATGGAACCCGGGAAAGTTCTCAGCCTGGAGGTAAATCTCTCTTTGCCAAAGATGGAGACAAGGACAGGGAGGGAGAGATTTCTCTCCTGAGGCCAGTGGCATCCCTCTGGTCTGCCTTCACTAGCATTGGGCAGGGATCAGTGTCTGTATAGTGTGTGTGTTGCAGAGGAGCATTCCCACTGACAGGTGGCTTTGACTGCATCAGTGCTAAGCCAGGACCAGTGTGTGTGGTGTGTGTGTGTGTGTGTGTAGGGGGAGGAGGGGTCCTAAGAGTTGAGGCAGAAAAAGTGGCTTAATTCTGGTGGGTATGGCTTAAGTGGTAGAGCACTTATTGTCTAGTATGCCTGAGGTCCTGGCTTCAATCCCCAGCACTGCAAAAAAGACAAAAAAAAAAAAGGTCTGGTAGAGTGGCTCAAGGTGTAGGCCTTTAGTTCAAACCCCAGTACTGGGGAAAAAAAATAAAAAAGAAAGAAAGAAAGAAAAAAAGATTCCTACAAGTGGGCTGTGGTTGTGGTCCCAGGTTGGGGAAGGAGGTGGAGCAAAAAAAACTAAAAAAGACAAGAAAAGAAAGAAAAAAAGATTCCTAAAAACAAGTGGGCTGTGGTTGTGGTTCCCAAGGTTTGGGGAAGGAGGTTGGCGAGGCCTCCCTGCTTGTGGCGAAAGCAGGGATGTCCGTTCCTCCCCAGGTCTGCAGAGCTCTAAGGCTTGAGAAGAAAAGAGTGAAAATAGCTGTGTGCCTGGCAGACCTAATAGGGAAGACTGGAGGTGGCATTTATGGGAAAGTCAGGGTGAAGAGGCAGGATGCTTGAGTGACCAGGAGACCACAGGGAGAGAGATTTGGAGAAGGGGCTCTTGGGATAGTGTTAAGTTTTTAGAGGGGAGAAGGAAGGAAATGTTGTATTCCCCACTGCAGATGGGGAGGTGATGATGTGGCAATGTGGGGTAGTGGAGGGGAGGGTAGAGGAAGGCACCAAAGAGTAGGAAAGCCCCAGTTGTGGGATCAGGGTATCTGGGCACCCACACCCTATTCCTGGGGGTGGAGGGGAGGAGGGAGGGAATCACTTGTATCACAAAAGCTAGCAGTTTGGAATCCCATCCTATGTAGGCAATGGCTAGTGAACTAGAGAAATTGTACAAGTAACAGGAGTTGGTGGACTCAGGGCTGCTGGAGGGTCAGGCCAAATTGTGCACCTGGAGGCAGTTGCTCTTAAACACCTTTCAACTGGGCAGAGCTATGATTGTTATAGAGCCAAGTGTCCCAGGCAAGGATTTAGATATCTTTTTCTGTTGTTGTTATTTTGCCTACTGGGGTTTGAACTCAGGGCCTACTCCTTGAGCCACTCCACCAGTTTTTTTGAGATAGGGTCTTGTGAACCATCTGCCTCCTGAGCAGCTAGGATTACAGGCGTGAGCCACTAGAGCCCAGCGGATTTAGATATCTTCAGATACCTTAAGGGAGACAGAATAGACATAAATGTTTCTGGAACGGTTTTGATGAGGCAAAACTGGTGACCAGGACCTAAGACTCAACCAAGTGCTTTGGGGATAGGTCTGGAAAGCATTTAAGGGATTAGGTGGCTCGTGGCATTAAAAGGGAGGATAGCAGGGCTGGAATGAGGGCTTGCTGGTTTCTTCTCCCCAAATCCTAACCCAGCCTTTCACTCCTCCCTTCCTGGACTCCAGGTGAATCAGAAGAACCCTAAACCTTTGTCTAAAAATACTCTCAGTGCAGTGTTCGGGTCTTTTTCACCCTTTAAGCCTAGTGACCATGGAGAGTGCTTTCCTCAAGAAAGCTGAGTTTGGACTGTTTTTCTTGGTCAATGAGTCCAAAGCAGAAAGGGTATTTCTGAGACTGAAGGAAATCTTACTGCCTGCTCCTCCTTTCTTTTTTCTTTTTTAAAGTAAAATCTAGCTGGGTGCTAGTGGTTCATGCCTGTAATCCTAGCTACTCGGGAGGCAGAAATCAGGAGAATCACAGTTTGAGGCCAGTCCTGGCTAATGGTCCATGAGCCCCTATCTCAAAAATAACCAACACACAAAAAAGTACTGATGTAGTGATTCACATGGTAGAGTGCCTACCTAGCAAGTATGAGGCCCTGAGTTCAAACCCCAGTATTACTAAGTAGATAAAGAGAAAAAGAAAGATTCTGACTATTGTAAAGATCAAAATTGAAAAGGCAAAGCAATGGCATAGAGCAGGCAACTAACAGTGACAGCAGATGGAATATAATGGCCAAGCAACTTCAGAGGGGAGTGGTTTGTGCAATGTTTTGGAAACATACCATTGTGAATATTTCATCATCCTGTCATTACAGACCTTTTGAACTAGAAGATACCTTAAAGATAATTGACTTCATCTTCATTGTATAGCATTAGAAACTGGGGCCCAGAAAGGGGAATTTATTTGCATATTGTCACTCAAGTGTTTGGGGATCAAAACTGGGGCAAGAACTCAGATATATTCCTGTTTCTGCTGCACTCAGCACTACCACCCTGTCCCCCTGATCTAGGCCCTGAAACAGAAATTGGGGTGGAGCTGACCCTAACCCAGACTCCTTCATTCTCTGAGGGACACAGTTGCACAAGCCTGGCACTGGAGGTGGCTGTGTGTGTGTGTGTGTGTGTGTGTGTGTGTGTGTGCAGGCACATGCACTCTGTGTTGGCTACAAGTGACCAACATTGGTGGCGATTAGCCACTCAAACTCAAACTCATGAGTGCTAAAGTACAAGCAATGTGTGGTCACCCAACCCAGTGACAGTGTGAGGGGAGAGGTACAGTGCATAAAGATTGAGCTCCTTGCTGGCCATGGGTGTCCCCTGGCATGTACTCTGCATAGGAGAGGGCCATTTTGGTTCCCTCTCTCTTCAGCCTCCCTGCCACTCCCACCTCCTCCCTGTATCCTACAAAGCAGGTCAGAACCTGCTGCTTTGGGTTTTTGTGACTATGCAGGCCTTACTGAACAGTGCTGTTGTCTGAATCTGGTTGTGCTCCCAACTGTCCCTTTCTTGACTTCTTGCCCAAAGCAAGAGTGTCAGCTCAGTCCAGGAGGAGGGAGAGTTGGAAGCTGCCACTGGGTGCCCTGACATAGGCCCTACCTGTTGTAAAAATAGCTTGGTTTTAGATCCTGATTTCTCTGTGCCTTTTAGTGTATGATATTCCAAGCCCTGGGTGGCAAGTGAGGCAGGAGGTGGGGACATGGCCAAAGAGAACTAGCTTGGATGTCCCTCTTCCATGCCTGTCCCCCTCTTTATCTGGGCTGGCATCTGGTGCCCACCTTGCCTCTGGGAAAATGAGAAACAGAAATGTGTGCCTTTGCTGGCGGAGCAGCTCAAATGGTGTGCATGTGGTGTGTACAATGGGGTGGGAGGTAAAGGGAAGGCCTCTCCTCTTTCTTGGTCCCTCCCCATGCTGGGGATTGAACCCAGGGCCTCATGCATGGTAGGCAAGCTCTCTACCACAGAGCTATAACCCAGCCCTTGGTTTCTGTTTTAATAGTGGAGCTTCCAGCACCAGCCTTGAGCTGCACCCAAAGGCTGCCCTGCATGAAGCTGCATAAAACTGGGCATAGCTTCTGACTTTTTCTTCCCTTCCGCCGCCAGGGACAGGCCCATTTGGCTCAAAGCCTCTTTGGAGGGGGCCCTCATGAGGCCCAGGCCTGGGGACTGTTCTCTGCTCTTTCCACCCCCTCCCTGTAGCTGAGGAAAACATTTACACTTATTTTTTCCAGTTTTTTTAGAAAATGTTTTGCAAAAAGATCCCTTATGTTTGCCAGATCCTGCCCTGGGCGGGGCACTCAGAAGCTGCCAGCTCCAAGAGGACGGAAGGGAAGACATTTTAACTGGCTCTGGCTTGGATCCTCTGCCTCTCTATAGCAAAAAGTTTCTCAACCCTTTTTTTTTTTGGCAGTACTGGGGTTTGAACTCGGCCTTGCACTTGCTAGACAGGTGCTCTACCACTTGGATGAGTCTAATAGTCCATCAACTTTTTTTTTTTTTTTTTATGATCATCCCAGTAAGGAGCATTTTTAGATACTTCCTAATTGTCTGGCCCACAAAATTTTAGTACTATAGTTATACTGTCTGTTTATATATGGTGGCTTTTTGGAACACCACAAGTGATTATAATAGCTAAGTCTTCCCTACCCTCTAAGAATCAGTTTTCACCCCCTTGGACAATATCACGCTTGCCAAGAAGGGTCCTTCCTTCTACAGAAGAACCTTCTGCCTCTGATGTCTCTTTTCCTTGTCTGGACAATCTGAAGTGGAAGTCCTGAGTTTTAGGATTCCCCTTTATTTCTCTTATTCTGCAGGGGTTCCCTAACACTCTCTAAGAAGGTCCTGGGTCTCTGAATTACCTCTCCAGTGTCTTCTCCAGTAGTACTTGGAGATAGAACTGGTTAGCATTTCGTTAAGAGAGGCTCCTACCCAGACCCCTGTGACACTTGTCTCTTCTCACTAACAAACGTGAAAGGCCCGGCCACGGGCCAGGTACATAACAGGTGCTCAATCAAATTATAACCATATAAAGACCTCCCTAAGTCTGAAGAGCTTAATTTTCTACAGCAGGGTTGGGAGGGAGAGTGAAAGAGACAGGAGCCTCCCTGGACCTCCTCTAAATCCATCCTGGACTTGTGCCTTCCTGGTTTGGGGAGCTGTGTGTGCTTGCCAGGGGAAGGGGTGGGGGAAGCTGTGTATGCTTTTGTTCAGACCTGATCATTAAAGGTAACTCTGGAAACCAAGTCCATTGGGAGTGGTGGTTTTGTTTAATTAAAAACGGAAAAACAGAACAACTAGAGCCCTTCCTTCTTGCACCCCCTGAGGCCCCTCCATTGGCTCAGGAGCTCTGCTAGGGAAGTAGGGGTGGGACAAAGGTGCCTGGCCTGTGTGCCCAGGGCTGGGGGAGGTGCTTTTGGATTGCGTTGATGGCTGTTGTAGCAACAGGCAGACTGGGTGGGCCCAAGACAGCACTCTAAGGCTGTGAGTCATGGGGGAATCCTGGCTTAAAAAGTGGGGGGAGGAGGGAAGAAATCCATTAATGTAGGGGAAAAGCTAATGGTGATATGCTCTCTCTAGAGCCAGCCTATGGGACGCTGCCAGGCATTCAGGTCAAGTTCCACCAAAAAGGCAGCTCCTCTGGTGAAAGCCTACAATGAATGGGCTATATCTCCCAGGTACATTTCTGGTGTGAGGAGACTCCTCCAAATCCTCCAAGTCCCCTCACTGGGACTGCACTCCGATACTGTACTTTGAGACCTTTCACTGGGCACTGGGAAGAAAGGATGGTCATGAGAAACCTGCAGCTCTCTCCTCAGCCCTGTTTTCCATGCTCAGTTGGCAAAGACTTTATCTAGAAAGCAAGAGACCATGAAAACCAGCCAGCTCAGCCTTTAGGGGTTGGGGTGGAGCAGGGAGGAGAATCAGAGATGCTGGGGGTGGGGCAGGGAGACAATGTGGATTTGTTCTCCAGCAGCTGGGACTGTTTCCTGACTATTCCCTGCAGTCACCCTTAATCCCTTCCTAGCCCATCCGTGTTGTCTGAGCTTAGTGAAAGGTGGGGCTCCTCCCCCCTCACACTCATACTCTTTGGTGGGACATGGGTGAGCTTTTAGTCTGGGAGACTGAAGGAGAGATCAGAGTTGATTTTTTTTTTTTTTTTTTATCCTGGGGCTGTAGGTAGATTCTGAGTGAAGATCAATGCACAGGCAGCACAGTTTCATCCAGAGGAGTCCTAAAATGGTGTGTCAAGTCCTGATGTAAAATGTAGAGGCCTGATGTAAGTCTCCAGTAACAGGCAGGGAGAGGATGACTGCAGAAAACCCAAAGGATACAGCTGAAATCAGAGGGACTGCTGAGAGGGGTCAGGACCTTCCTACACTTGGAATAACAACAACAAAGCATACCCTCAGTGCCTTGGTGAATAAGAGGCAGAGGGATGGGCACATGCTCCAGGATGTCCTTGATAGCATTAAGCTACCTGTGTCAAATAGAGACTACAAATCCCATCATGCCCTATGCCTAGGTCACCTTGCCTGCTGGGAGGTGTAGTAGGGTAATACAGAGTTGGAGCTGGCTTGGTGCCAAACAGAGCTGGTGCCCAGTTGGGAGAAGAGGTGAAGCCAGCACTCGCTCTTTGTTCCTGCTAATGCTATTGACAGGGAGGGAAGGAAGTTGGGAGGAGGTGTTCCTAGCTTTCAGTGTAAACCAGGAAACTCTGGGGGGATGTTTATGGGAGGGAAAAGGAAGAGGTTGGGGGTGGGGCAGGAATTTCTGTAGCAGGTGGTGCAGAGATTCCATGTAGCCTATGTATAGATGTGTGTGTGTGTGTGAGAGAGAGAGAGAGAGAGGAGAGAGAGAGAGACGTTAAGAGGGATCAGTTCCTATTGCCTCATTTTCTCAGGAGATGGGATTTTCTTACAATTCTAGGAAATAATTTTCAGAAAGTTCTTTGGAAAAACTACTGCCTCTCATTCTTTGGTTTGAAGTACCTAAAGAGAGTCTGGGCCAAATAGGAGCTCCTTTTTATGTTCTGGATCAGGCCCCTTTCCCTCTCTGTGCTCAGCCTCCTCTGCTCTTTGGTGGTGGTGGTGGTGGTGGTGGTGGTGTGTGTGTGTATGTGTGTGGTGGGAGAGTAATTCTGAGATGGTGAAATGTTGATCCAAAGTAAGGATCTTGGAAAATCTCCCCAGAATGAAAACAGCAGTGGTGTTAGGTCCTCCTAGGGGAAGAGGGAAAAGCAAAGAGCTGGCTCTGTGCTCTCTAGGAGCATGGGTCAAACTACTCCAGGCCCCCCAGTCGTGGGGAACAAAGCAAGAATAGAGAAGTAATCCCTCCCTGTCTTCTATTCCAAGACAGGGAAGTCAGAACCAGAAGAAATGTTCAGGCCAGGCACTGGTGGTTCACGCCTGTAATCTTAGTTACTCAGGAGGTAGAGATCAGGAAGATTGTGGTTCAAAGCCAGCTGGGGCAAATAGTTCAAGAGATCCTATATTAAAAAAAACTCATCACAAAGAAGGACTACTCTTTCCTCCATTCATTTCTACATGGGAGAGGGGGGATGACCACTGGTGGAGTGGAACAGTATAATATGGAGTAAATGTGTGTGTGTGTATGAGGGGAGGGGATGGTGGTGAGACATGGGCCAAGCTCTCCTTTCCCAAAGCTGGTTCTGAGATGGCTCCAGTAGCTGGAAAATGCACTCTCTTAGGCCCGGTGCTGGTGGCTTACGTCTGTCATCCTAGCTTCTCAGGAGGCAGAGATCAGGAGGATCGAGGTTCAAAGTCAGCCCAGGCAAATAGTTCAAGATAATCTATCTTGAAATTATCCATCACAAAAAAAGGGCGGGTGGAGTGGCTCAAGGTGTAGGTCCTGAGTTCAAGCCCCAGTACTGCAAAGAAAAGAAAAGAAAAGAAAATGCACTCACTTTACCTTCAAGCTACCCTACTTGCGGTTCCCCTGAAATTGGCAGTGAGCTCATCCCCAAACTCCTCATTAACTCTTCAAACCCGCTTTTACTTTTTGGCCTGGCTGGGGCAGTGTGTGATTTAGGGCACCAGAGGGCGCTCTGCCATTTCCAAAGTCAAGCTGAGTCTCCTGAAATCACAGTGGTTTAATGTAATCACTAATCATAGAGTGCGAGGGTTGGAGGACCCTAGGGATAAGTTAGCCAAGTGTAATCATAATACAATTTTCCAGCCGAGGCTTCCTTTCCTCCTCGTGCTGTCTGTATAGTGACCATTCAACTCACATGTATGGAGTGCCCACGATGTGCACAGCTCTGTGCCGAAATAATCAGTCTAATTTCACCAGTACCACACAGGTCCCTCTCCAGGATCGCTCCCACCCCACCTCGGGTTCTCCCATCGTCCCTCCCCAGCGTTCTTTTGGCCGGCTCTCTCGGCCTCTTCTCATCTCGCTGTACTTTCTCCTTAGGATGAAGTGAAGCTGCCTGCTAAATTGAGCGTCAGCAAGTCGCTGAAAGAGTCAGAGGCGCTGCCAGAGAAGGAAGGTGACGAGCTGGGCGAGGGCGAGCGGCCCGAAGAGGACGCAGCTGTGCTCGAGCTCTCCTCTGATGAGGCTGTGGAGGTGGAGGAGGTCATCGAAGAGTCCCGCGCCGAGCGCATCAAGCGCAGCGGGCTGCGGCGCGTGGATGACTTCAAGAAGGCCTTCTCCAAGGAGAAGATGGAGAAGACCAAGGTACGCACCCGTGAGAACCTGGAGAAGACCCGTCTCAAGACCAAGGAGAATCTGGAGAAGACGCGGCACACGCTGGAGAAGCGCATGAACAAGCTGGGCACACGCCTGGTCCCCGCTGAGCGGCGTGAGAAGCTCAAGACCTCACGCGACAAGCTGCGTAAGTCGTTCACGCCCGACCACGTGGTGTACGCCCGCTCCAAGACCGCAGTGTACAAGGTGCCACCCTTCACCTTCCACGTCAAGAAGATCCGCGAGGGTGAGGTAGAGGTGCTGAAGGCCACCGAGATGGTGGAGGTGGGTCCTGAGGAGGAGGAGGGCGGTGCAGAGCGTGGCGAGGCCTCCGACCTGCTGCGCGGGAGCAGCCCCGATGTGCACACGCTGCTGGAGATCACCGAAGAGTCGGACGCCGTGCTGGTGGACAAGAGCGACAGCGACTGAGCAGGATCCGCAGGGCCCTGTCACTCCCAGCCCCTAAGCCACCAATCTTCTTTCCCTTTCAAACTTTCTCTTTCGCACTCTTCTCAGCCCCAACCTGGCTGAGTTTTGTTTTTTTTTTAAATTGAAAGCACCTCCCCTGCAAATCACAACGGTTAATCCCAGGGCAGGCGGCCCCCACCGTGGACAGCCTCAGTTTGGACATAGTCTGGGTAGGGATGGTTACCCAAGCCAGTGATCCTAGAGGAAGTTACTTGGTTGGGCCCCGTGAGGGACTGCCTACCCCTCAGCCTCCCCGCCACACCCTCCCACCCAGCTGTGTCATTCCTGCTCACTGAGCTCTTCTTCACCCCTGGAGGCTCTGAAGCCAGAATTATTGTCAGTGGAAGGAGTAAATCCTAAACAGGATCCTTACCCTCACTGGAGGTCTCCTACTAAAAGACTTGAGGGTCTTTGGAGAAAACTTGAGGCAAATTGGGAGAGGCAGAGTGAACCTTGACCCTGGATGAGGATCCGGCACAGTTCTGTCTGCAAAGGGTCCCAACCAGGAAGGCTGGAGGCCAGCGGAGCCTGAGGAATGAGGGGAGGGGTAGAAACACACGGTAGAGGAGGGGCACTTTTTCATATCTATTTGTCTGCACACAGGAGCCCGTGGCTATGGCTTATGGGAAGGAGAATGGGAAAATAAGAAAGGGTGGAAATGGGTGAAGAGAGGATTAGCAGCACAAGGATACACAGGACAAGAATCCGATATAACTGGGGTCCCAGGACAGCAGGGCCATTTTCAAGACAAGGAGAGAGGGCAGCATGAGAAAGCGATGATGCAAAGAGGAGGGAGAGATAAGCCTCACTGGATCCTTTATTTGGGGTCTGGGTGCTGTCCTCAGGGAAAATCTAGTTCCCCAAGTTCAGGAAATTAAAGATTCCCAGAAGGGGGCAGCAGCAGACTGTGGAGAGCTGGAAGTTAGGAGGGAAGCCGGCTGGAAAGAGCAGGGAGCAAACAGCCAGGCCCTGAGCAGACAGTTGGAGGGAAAGTGGGGAAGCAGGACAGGGTAGAGCAGCCAGGCTCCTCCTGGCAGCTTCTACTTCAGATTCTTCCCTAGGGCTAGTATCTAAACACTATAGAACTTGCCCACACCTCTCTGGGTTTCTTGTCTTTGGGGAAGCCCTTCCTGAAACTTAGGGGGTACAGGGGGCACTGCAGTTTGAGGCTTGATTTCTGTAGTCTACTGACCAGGTTCACCTGTTCCTCCTCATTAAAGGCTGTCAGAAGTAAGGACAACCCTCTACCCATGTCACACCCCAAAGGATGGCTGGAGGCTTCACCCTTCTCCACCTCATCTTCCTTGCTCTGCCTTTTTTTTTAAAGAATCGCAGCTAATTGTTTTAAGGGGGTGGGAGGGATCCTAGGGACACAAACCTTTTATACTTTTTTTTTTTTCTTTTCCTTTTCTTGGTTCCCTTTTCTGACGGGTTAGATACAAGTCAGCTGAGGGAGGATGAGGATTGTGGGACGAGGTCCCTTGGTGCTGAGGGGCTGAAGGGGCCTGAGTTGTTGGCAGATGCAGTTTCCTGTGGGCTCTGAGGAGCCCCTCATATTGCTGTGTCCTGGTGAGCAGCCTGACCAATAAACCTGCTTTTCTAAAAGGATCTGTGTGGAGTTGTGTACACCCAAAGCAGTTACTGAGGGTGAGCTACAGAGGAGTGGAAGGAACCAGGGAGGGAGGGGAAGTAAAGGGGGGAGAGGGAGGGAGAGAGAGAATGAGAACTGTTGGTATAAACTTGCTTTGCCTGGGCTGGAGAAGGAGGGAGGGAGATAACAGCCAATGGATCCACTAGTAAGGGTCTAAGCACTTTGGCAAGTGATTGCTTATTTAATCTGACAGCACCCTATAAGGTAGATTTTATCATCATTATCTCCATTTGAGAGAAGAAGAAAGAGCCACTTGTTGAGGTCACATAGGTAAGTGGCAGAGCTGGGACTCAAAAGGCAGATAGCCTGGCTCCAGTGTTTAAAGGTTACCGTCATAATTCTATAGTCTGATCCCTTCCCAGCTGTGAGAGCCTTCATCTTTAGATGCACTGTGAACCTGAGCTTCTCCCAAATGCCATCCTCCCTGCTCCCCAAGGCTGGAGGAGGCAGATCAGAGGTCCTGCTCAGAGGGCTGGATGTCAGAGACAAAAGGTAGCAGTGCATCTGTATGCTAGGTGTATCCATACAGAGTCTCATTCTCCCACCCCTATTGGCAACTATTGACTCTCTTCCCAGGAGCAAGCTGCCCCAGGTGATGGATCTCCTAGAGCAGTGGGTTTGAATCATCCGTGGGTTCTGCAATCTGACAGCACCCTATAAGGTAGATTTTATCATCATTATCTCCATTTGAGAGAAGAAGAAAGAGCCACTTGTTGAGGTCACATAGGTAAGTGGCAGAGCTGGGACTCAAAAGGCAGATAGCCTGGCTCCACGGTGTTTAAAGGTTACCGTTCATAATTCTATAGTCTGATCCCCTTCCCAGCTGTGAGAGCCTTCATCCTTTAGATGCACCCTGTGAACCTGAGCTTCTCCCAAATGCCATCCTCCCTGCTCCCCAAGGCCTGGAGGAGGCAGCAATCAGAGGTCCTGCCTCAGAGGGCTGGATGTCAGAGACAAAAGGTAGCAGTGCATCTGTATGCTAGGTGTATCCATACAGAGTCTCATTCTCCCACACCCCTATATTGGGCAACTATTGACTCTCTTCCCCAGGAGCAAGCTGCCCCAGGTGATGGATCTCCTAGAGCAGTGGGTTTGAATCATCCTGTGGGTTCTGCCTGCCTCCAAATCACCTAGGAGGAGTGTCCCCCCAAAAAGTAATGCCATCCCTAGGGTTGCACTCCAGCCTCCTGCTACCTCAGATAGGCTGAATATTCCTCCTGAGCCATGTATATGTTTCCCCCTTGACACCTCTGTTCTCATGTCCCCAGCAGCAGATTCCAGGAGAGCCCAGAAGTTTTTTTTGTCTGGTCGGTCTTTGGTGGGACTGGAGTGTGAACTTGAAAAGCAGGCGCTCTACCACTTGAGCCACACCTCCAGTTCGTCCAGTTGCTCTGGTTATTTTGGAGATGAGGTCTCACAGACTATTTGCCCAGGCTGGCCTTGAGCCTCGATCCTCCTAAGTAGCTGGGATTACTGGCATGAGCCACTGGTGCTTGGCTGAGCCCAGAGTTCTAAGTCTTTGAGAAAGGCTGGCTTCCCATCGAATAAATGGACACTGATGCTGAAAATTCAGACACTGGGAGCCAGAAAAGTTCCCCTCTGCCAGGAGAGGCACTCCAAGTCACCTTCTTCCTCAGGAACATAGATGTGCAGCTGTGAAAAGCAGAGAATGAGGCCAGGTGTAGCCACACTTTCCCTGGGATAGGAAGCCATCTTTTTAATTCTCACCCATAAGTTCCTTCCCTTTCTCCCACTAACCACTCCCTCCCTAGTCTACTGACCACCCTTTCAAGATCAGCAAGTTACCTGTCACCAGTGGCTCACCTATAAGCCTAGCTACTAAGGAGGCAAGAGATCAGGAGGATCGATGTTTGAAGCCAGCCCCAGGAAATAGTTCACAAGACCCTATCTCAAAATAACCCTTCACAAAAGAGGGCTGGAGGTATAGGCTCTGAGTTCAAAGCCCAGTACCACAAAAATAAATAAATAAATATTTTAAAAAATGTCAGCAAGTTGCTTTGCTGTACTGTGCTCACCAGCTTGATTCTGGCCACCCCTTTGTGAAGAGTGGTCCAAATTCTCTGAACAGCCATTTTCCCGGAGACCTCTGCACCCTGTAGCATCCTTCCTTTACCTCCTAGTGCCCAGAAGCCCAGCTAGAATCAGACTCTTCCTCTAATGTCTGAGGGTGGTCATAGGCGTTGGAGAAATAGTCCTGCCTCCCAGTAGGATTTGATGGGCATTCCAAGGTCCCACAGCCACACAGCAACTTCCACTACCAGTCCTGAATTTGCCCACCCATCATTAGCATTATTTCTAACGGTTATAATCAGACAATAAAGTAAGGGTACTGTCTCTCAAAGGACTCCATTAAGTGTTACTTGGGACTTAGGGAAGTTCCTCTTCAATCTCAAGTTGAGTTATCAGGTCCCTGTATGGCCTCCTCTAGTCCTTATTTTTATGAGGTGACTTTCCACCAGGTCGGAGACAGCTGCAGCCAGTCTTGGATTGGTGGTGTCCCTCATGTCTCTCACCTGGACCATCTGAACTGAGTTTGGTTCTCTTTCTATCCATTCTCCATATTTACTGCCAGAAATATACACAGATGGTGTCTGACTTACAATGGTTCAACCTATAAGTTTTCCACGATAATGTGGAAGTTATACATATTAAGTAGTAATTGTATTTTCAGCTTTGATCTTTTTCCCTAGTTATATGCAGTCTAGTACTCCCTCTTGATGCTGGGCAGTGGCCACGAGTTGCTTCTTCCAGTTAGTCACAGGCTCAAGAGGGGAGCAACCTATACCATACTATACAGTATACAGTACTCAGCAGTTATACAAGATATCAAACATTATTATAAAATAGGTTTAGCTGGGCTCTGGTGGCTCATGCCTTTAATCCTAGCTACTCAGGAAGCAGAGATCAGGAGGACTGAGGTTCCAAGCCAACCCCAGCAAATAGTTTGTGAGAGCCCATCTTGAAAAAAACCTATCACAAAAAAGGTCTGGTGGGAGTGGCTCAAGTGTAAGCCCTGAGATCAAATTCCAGTACCACAAAATAAGTGAATAAATAAGCAAATAAACAAACAAAGTAAAATAAAAAATAAAATAGGCTTTGCTGGGTGCTGGTGGCTCACACCTGTAATCCTAGCTATTCAGGAGGCAGAGATCAGGAGGATCACAGTTCGAAGCCAGCCCAGGCAAATAGTTTCCAAGACACAATTTTGAAAATACTCAAACAAAAAAAGGACTGGTGGAGTGCTCAAGTCTTCCTAGCAAGCTTAAGGCTTCAGTTCAAACCCCAGTACCAACAAAAAATAAACAGACAAATAAAATAGATTTTATGTTAGAGGATTTTACCCAAATGTAGGCCAATGCAAATGTTCTAAGCATATTTAAGACAGACTAGGTTACTTATTTATTTAATTTTTATTTATGTATTTTTTTTTCAGTACTGGGGCTTGAACTCAGGGCTTTCAACTTGAGCCACTCTACCAGCACTATTTTTGAGATGGATGTTTTTGAGACATGGTCTCATGGAACTATTTGCTGGGGCTGGCTTTGATCACGATTCTCCTGATCTCTGCCTCAGGAGTAGCTAGGATTACAGGCATGAGCCACCAGTGCCTGGCAACTTATGATGATCGGTATGTTAAGTATGTTAAGTGCATTTTTGACTTTATAATAATATAATTTAGGGTGGGTTTATCTGGATGTAACTCTATTGTAACTCAAGGAACACCTGAAAAAAATGTGGAAAGAAAATACGTTTTGCAGGCTAAATGCCTTTCCTTTGGTCAAAGGGTTAAAGTCTGTGGTATGGCTCACAGGCCTCTTAAGAATCTGGTCCTTAGCTGGGCGCCAGTGGCTAATGCCTGTAATCCTCTACTCAGGAGGCAGAGATCAGATGGATCAAGTTAGAATGGCCATAATCAAGGATAAAAACAATACTGGTGAGGATGTGGAAAGCAGTATGGAGATTCCTCAAAAAACTACAGATAGAACTGCCATATGATCCAGTGATACCGCTCCTGGGCATCCACCCAAAGGAATGTAAGACAGGATACAGCAGAGACACCTGCACAGCAATGTTCATCACAGCACTCGTCACAATAGCTAAGCTCTGGAGACAACCCAGGTGCACTACAACTGATGAATGGATCAAGAAATTTATACATATACATATATATATACATGCAATGGAGTATTACTCAGCCACAGGGAATAATGACATGGGGTTTGAAGGTAAATGGATGCAATTGGAGGATATCATGTTAAGTGAAGTAATCAAGGATCAGAAACACAAAAGCCACATGTTTTCTCCCATACGTGGAAGATAGAGTCAAAGATAAACATATACACAAAACCACGCAAGATCATATACAAACTCAGATCTAGAGCATGTTTGTAACAGTGGAACGACTCTATGGACTCTTTGGGAAAGAGAGAAAGGAAAAGAAAATGATAGAGCATCAGTAATATCGCATAACTTAAGATGTGAAGGTAGAGGATATAAAGATGTGTACTGAAAGCTGTTAAAAAATGGGGGTTGAAAGAAATGTGACACAGGTTACTCCAGAGGCACCTGCACACCCATGTTTATTGCAGCGCTATTCACAATAGCCAAGTTATGGAAACAGCCAAGATGCCCTACTACAGATGAATGGATCAAGAAAATGTGGTACTTATACATAATGGAATTTTACTCAGCCACGAAGAAGAATGAAATCTTATCATTCTCAAGTAAATGGATGGAACTGGAGAACACCATTCTGAGCAAGTTAGCCAGGCCCAGAAGACCAAAAATTGTATGTTCTCCCTCATATATGGACTTCAGATCTAAGGCAAATACAGCAATGTGATTGGTCTTGGGTCACATGCTAAGGGGAGAGCACATATGGGAGGTATGGGGATAGGTAGGAAACCCAAAACTTGAAAGTGTTTGATGTCCC